AGGAGTTAAAATAACCAATTCAATATTTAATGTCCTTCACAATCTAATGGTTATAATTCATTGTAAAAGTCATCGTTCTCGGGGAACACCATCCATACAATATTCATACAACGCAGATAAATTGTGGAATTATGAGCTGCGGAGTAAAACTACTCGGGTTAATTCATAGCTGTAAAGAAAACATAATCTCTTCCCCTTGTAAACAATTCATGCCTCGTAGATAAACCGTTGTGGCAGATGCAAACGTCTGGGTAGTAGTTGCGGGCCCGAAACGCCTTATTTGTTTCACCAGATAATAGTTAGAGGAGAAGGAAATGTACATTCTACTTTAGGCGTTTTATATTTTTAAAAAGGAGGTTTTCTAATCTGTTTGTCCCGTGAGTTTAATGTCTCAAAGCTGATTTACACTCAACAACAACAACATGTGTCTCCTTCAGGGCCTAAAATAAAACTGTTCTGACAGGACAGCAACAGTTTGAACAGTTTGTCCTCATTCATACTGTGTTTCTTTTTGACTAATAATGCAACTAATATCTATTGTGATTGTCAACTAATCTTGTTCTTATCTCAATTTAATTATGTATTAATTGTTGGTAAATAAAACAAAATTAATGTTTAGAAGGCCAACAAAATGTCCTAAAGTCCAAGGTGATGTCTTCAAAATACCTCTGTATTTTAAGCAGCATAGAAAAAGCCCTTTTTTTTTTTAAATGTTAATTTTATAATATCCGAGAAATTAAAGCAGCGAGTCGTTGTAATGGAGAAGCTACAATGAATTTTATTCATTTTAGTGTATTTTAAATATGTTTCACCTAAAACCAACAAACAACTCTAAATGATGACATTAAAAATGGAGTAAAATAAATGCACCTCTGTTTTTAGGGTAATATCCTTCTGTCCAGCCAGCCAAAGTAAACACTTGTGCTTTCAGCTGGTTCTGGGGGTATTGCATCAGCTTGCAATATGAACATGTATTATTATTCTGTGCAGACTACATTCATTTCTCATCTTGAAATATGAATAGCCAATGTACGGGACAGGCCCTTAGTGCATTACAATTAAGCATTCATTAAGTAAAATACATACATTCAAATCATATTATTAAAGAGTAGATGGACCATCATATACTTTCTGCATCTTAATAAAGATGAATTTAAGTGTTTGTCATAAAGCCACATTTGTTTACTCCCTTTAGCCCTTTATATAAATAAGTCCTTCACCAGAATTTCTGCATCTTTTCTGAATAAACATAAAACCTTAAAACACAGACATGAGATTTGGTCGATAAGGCCACATGGCCAGAGGTATTGCACCCATTGTAATAACCTACATGTATTTAGTGCATGTGTTATATCATCGAAGACTAACTGTGCACACGGTCTCATAAAAATCATCTCCTTCTAAAATGCCCATGGCACACAGGTGCAGGGTGTTTATCGGCAGACGGCCAAAATGTAAACCCTTCCCCACCTTCAGGTCCCCCACCCGATCAAACACCCTCTCTCCCTCCTTGCCCACTACCTTGGCCAGAGTGAGGTGGTATCGTGGGTTGAAGGAGTCCCTGTGGAGCAGCCCCTCCTCCCTGTAGGCCTCCTGCAGGCCGCTGTTCAGCTGCTGGAGGTGGATCTGAGGCTGGGGGCTGAGGTACAGCACCTTCCCGTTGAAGTGCTTCAGCCTCACAGGGAAGGTCAGAGCCACCGGGGGGTTTCGATCGAAATGAGCAAACTTTCTGAGGATCTCTGCAGCGTTGGCTACCTCCGCTGGGCCGGGCAAATTCAGAAGGCACATTGTGACGTGGAGCGTGTTGGCCCACTGCCAGTGAGGGGCCGAGGAGGGCAGGACGGAGGTGATCTCCTCCTGCAGCTGCTGGAAGCCGGACAGGATGGCAGGAGTGTTGGCCCTGAAGGTGATGAAGTGCGTGGGCTTCTTTTTAGGGGGGCGACCACCGTTCTTCTGCTCTCGTTGCTCCAGAGGTGCTGATTTCTGGAAATAGACATTTTCAAAGTAATTTGTTGACTCTCTGAATGAAATCTAGTCCTAGTCAATTTGAAATCAATCAGACAATTCCACGGCTGCTATCTTTCACACAAAACTCACTGTTAAAAAATCTGGTTTTATAAAGATCTCTGAAGGTAAGAGGATAAATATGTATTTAAGATTTGAACTGAGAACTGAACTGTAAATGCAAAACATAAAGGTTTATTTCAGGGTGAATTGTGCTGTACCCACCGAAGCATCTTCTTTGCCGTCCGAGCTTTCCTGCCAGTCTGCAACGTCCCCTTCCTCATTCTCCTCTTGTCCGTCTGCTCCGTCTTTTTGGGAAAAGGATGATGGGTCTGACGAAGCCTCAGGGCTTAAATCAAAACAAGTGAGTAATATTACTCAAGAGGCAGGATGAATCTTGCAACATTGCTAATAAGATCACATGACATACAGTTGCCATAATGTAAAATGTTATGTCTTATGGACACAGTACAATAACAAATATTTTCTAAATTCATATTAACAAAGCCACTCACACACACATGAGCAAACCAATCCAATCGACCAATTAAGAATAATAGTTTTGTCTATAAAATGAAAGCTTGTAACAATTTCCCTCAGTCCAAACATGTCATCTGCAAATGTATCAATGTTGTACAACCAACAGTCTAAAACCCAAATATTATTTTAAAAGCTATAATCTACTATAAAGAAATATATTATTTGATTATGAAAAAGTTTCAGAAAGCTGAGGATGCTCTGAATTGATCACTGTTGATACTAAGTTGGCTTTTTGCGATGAACAACAGACCGAGAACATGCTGTAAAAATGCTCTTCTGTTGTGTTCAAGACTTGTAAACTGTCCCTTAACTTAAAGGATGAACATCAGACCTCATTGCAGCCTCCTCCATAACACATGGTGGTTCCTCCTCTCCTGGAGAAGCGTCTCCTCCACACTCTGGAGCTGCTTCTGTTCCAGCAGGGCTGTGAATATTCATCTCACTTTGCTCCTCTTCCTCCTGATGTGTGTTCTCAGTTGGAGTACCCTTCTCTGTTTCACACTCATCCTGCAGGGGCTCCCTGACAGCAGGCAGCGGCTCCTCTGTGTTCACATCTTGGCAAACAAAATGTTATATTTGGTAAGTATGAATCCTGTAAAGAAGTCCTGGCTTTTGTAATGTGTCTGCATATCAGTGAGTATATGGGTGTATGTTAGGTGGGGTCCATCCTTACCCTTTACTTCCTCCACCCCTCCAAAGGGGGGAGCCAGAGATTGGCCGGTGGAGCCGAACACCCGGTCGGTCCTGCTGTGGCGGTCCCAGACGCGGTGCCCTCTGTAGGTGAAGTACTGGATCCTGTGTCGGGGCAGGGCCAGCTCCACGGTGTAGTCGCAGTCGCACGGGTCTGTGTCCCAGTTGAAGTCGTTGAAGGGACGCTCCAGAACACCGAGGAAACGGTCCACGTACCCAACAACGAATTCTGATCCATCCGCCGACTGGTCCCACAGGATCCGAGAGATAACCTCATCGGCTGTGCGCATGCGAGGCTTTTTGTTCACCTCTGCAGGAGAGTAAGATATAAATAACAAAAGCATATCACTGGAAGGGTTACTGGGTATGATTTGATTTGAATAAAAAACATTAATATATGGACAAAGTATCACGTTGTCATTATCAGATGACATGTGTGAGTAACCTTTTGGCTCATATTTCGGCTTTCTTGTTTTGTTCACTTTCTTCTTGGGTTTTTCCGTCTTCTCTCCTTCCTGTTTGTCATCCTGGTCAGCTGACCCCGAATCATCTCCTGATGGGTTACTAAGAAAAGAGAGCAACCAGAGTGGAAAAAATGTCAGAACACACACGGGAAAAATGACAGATGGAGAAAAAAATGCTCTTAGTCTTAATTCCATTTGACACAGATTAACCTTCATGCAGCCTGCTGAACTTTGAACAGCATCCATATTTAGTCATGGCTGCATATTAGTGCCAGACTGGTGAGCAATATGAGCAGTGGTGGACCAATAGAAATAATAAATAAACACAATATACAGTACTTCAATCAGTTTTCAAAAAGACACACTTGTAACAAGGGAATAGTATTCTAGAAAGCATTAATGAAATTATAGTAGTTGTAGCTCAACTACTATAATTTCAATTTTTAACCTCTTTAGTGTTAAATGTATTAAAAATGAATTTGTTGAAAGGAGAAATAAATAAATAAAAACTTTGGAGGAATCTTCTGTATCCAGGTTGAGCAACATTAAAAGGAAAGGTCCACATTATTTTCAACTCTGTCATTACTCAAATGCCCAGAAAAGTGATTTAATTAATTTCTGAAATTGTTGCAGAATTAGGACTTTAGATTTGTTCCTTCATAACTTGGAGGATATGTTTGCCGTCCTTATGGGCAAAGAACAAATACAGCTACTAATTATACTTTCCGTGTGCATTTGGGTTTGTGATTATTGTTTAAAATGAATAAAATTTGAACCTATCCTTCAACATTCAGGCAGCCATCTTTTAACATTCTAGCTACCTTGGTGTTATGATCATGTTTGACCCATTTAGTGTTGCAGTTATTAGAAATCAATGTACATGTGGAGAAAAGCTAACAAGAACATTTAAAAGTCATCCTTAATCCTGCTGGTAAGTTGACTGAAGAAGGAAAAGCAAGCAAACCTGTGAGAGAAACGACATCTGGGGCCGAAATGACACTTCCCCATCAGGAAAAACCGGCACACGTCGACTCTGTTCTCATCTTGCTCTGCTGACCACAGAGGGAAGTAAGCAGGACATTTTGCAACGAGTATCTGTACATAACACCAGCATGTTGAAGGGTTTCTCTCGGGTTAAGAGTAAAGAATGTATAGAAAACATTTCCACAAACATGATCGCAAAACATTTTTAACTCAGCAGCTTGTGGGCCGCAGCAGTGTGAGTAAGAGTCAGGCAGTGGCTCAATAAATTGACTAAGAAAAAAAAGAGAGGAGACAGGTAAACCATTAACCATTAAAATACATATAACAACGGGATGCTCTCAGATCAGAGTGTTGATGGTAAACTTAAGGCGGCAGGTAGAATAAGTCAAATATATGTATACTGTATTTTGTGAAAGTCATACTAAGAGCAGGAAGTAAGCTATCTGTTACTGCTCTTTGTGTTCAATATATGTTGAGTTGTGTCTCCTATATGAGCCTCTTTGTAGGTGAGATATGTGTGTGTGTGCCAGATTATTTTTGATTGAAACCAGTAAGTTTACAACACCTCATGTTTAAAACTTGAGGCTATAACTATGAACATGCCAGTGGGACTAACAATTATAGGCTAAAAGATTTTAAAAAATAGCAGTTACATAAATATCGTAAGGTTTGCAGGGGTTATTTGATTAACAACTTTTTTGTTTAGACAATCGGATATAGAGGAAATGTATTTGTGTATCTGGAAAGTCACCTCTCGTCACCTCTTTGCTTAAGAAATTGGATTTATGAATATTTCATTTTCTCAAAAGAATTCTGCAGATTGATCTAATTAAATATCAAAATGCCTGTCATATTCAGTAAATCCACATAATAAATGTTACCAAAGTAATATAAAAAGATGGTAGATATGATGATGTTCAATGTACAGACTTTAGGGAAAACAATGACCAAACACCTGAACCTGTATTAAAATACAGAAATGTAGTAGATTCCTTCTGGTGATCTTAAGCAGGTCTAATAAGACAACGATGGGATGAATAAGGGGTTAATCCCCTAGAGAAAACAGGGAGTGGAAAAAAGATATGCACAAAACTATGTTTCCTCTCTAACCCACTTGGAAGAGGACAGCTCATAGCAGGTGGCAATGCCAAATATTTGCTCTGCAGTTGCCTATAAACTCAAACACAAACCACACACCCGGGAATGCTATGTCCAAAACTGGATGTGACTCATTCATTAAATCTTTTGATGATGAGCGCGGTAATATCTGTCTTCCCGCTGAGAGATCAGATCACACACTGGCACAGGTTCACAAGTCATGGGAGAACTTAAACAACTTGAGCAGTCTTTCAACTGCTTGGTGTATACATCAGAATGGAGGTGACTGGGTAAAGTAATACTTGAGAAATACTTATTTCCTTGGAAAGTCTTTGTTGGTATCATCCCGGTAGTACACGGTAATTAAGCAGATGTTGATACTAAATCTCTTTTTCATACCGGATTTGCGGTTCAGAGCCAATACTTAAGGCTCTCTTTTGACTCACTTCCTTAACCCCTGACACATTACCAGCAGTCACCCAGCATGAAATCAAAATGTTATCAGTCATTTCAGCGAACAGCGAACACATTCAGCTCTGCCTTTGACGGTAAGGGGTTTCAGCAACATGATAACATTACACCACATTTACCAGAAATCTAATTGCTTACAGCAACACAGAAAGGTTTCATAGACTGGGGAACATGAGGACACTGTCTATATTTCAGAAAAGACTGGAGAATATGTAACAAAACATTAGCTGCTCACTTTCACATATATTACATTTTGTCAGCAATCCAATCCTATTGGCTAGTGATAGTGACAGAATAAAAATCAATACTGAGTTTTGTATAATATAATTTTATAATTATTTGGGTAGTCGTTTAAAGATAAATGGGTAAAGATACATTTCTTTAAAATAATTAAAAGTCTTGGTCATATTTCATACGACTGTGTAAATTATAGCAAAAAAGTTAATGATTGTGTCCCCACCGTTGATACTAGGATGTGGTTTACCAGTATCATCACATTTGTATTCTTTAAAGTAGGTTATTATGTATAAATATGGATTTGACATTGAAATCTATTTTGTATGTGTCTGTGATGTATGTACCTAATAGATTTACACTGGGTTTATGTGCTAGATATATGTCATAAGACAATAGTAATGGTAATTCCCTTTGACGACGAGAGGGACTGAGACTATAAGGCCTTAAAGGGGATCCTTACTTCCTGAGTATTGGAAAAAGTAACCCTTAACACAAAGCTGACTACTGATAACATATCAGCTCTAATGTGCATGATATGACATGTCTGTTCAGCTCTCCTGTACATTTGTGTTCCACTGCACAAAAATTACAATAATAAAGTATTAAAATAAAAAGAATCAGACTGAGTTTGGTAAATTACCAGCAGGTATATCAGTCTCTTTAATGTGTGGCTCACCTGTATGTCATGTCTTAAATGAAGTAAACAACAACAATTAGTGTCTGTGTGTCAGGAAGATTTACCTGCTGGGGCTCTTAGGGTGTCTTTTCCACAGTTAGGGGGAACCCCTGCCTCCTCACTGGGTGTTTCTGTCAGGGGGGTCCCCTCCTCTGCCTGCTCCTCTGGTGGTCCTCCTAATCCGTCTGATGCCATGATCAAACCTGTGATTTAAAAGGAAATGTTACTTCAAAAAGGTCTGCTGTGTCACTGTGTGGTTTGCTGCTATACTTGTTTGAGCTGACCATGAATGACTTGAAGTAAACCGGACACACCTAATTCTAAAATAACAACTCAGGCAATAAGGAAGTGGTTGTCTAGCGTTTTTTTTTAAAGAAACTGTTTGAATTCAACAACTCATTGAGATAAAACTTGTTCAGATATAAACAAACAAGATAAACATGTCTCTAAAGATCCCCAAGAAAATATTAAACATACTAACCGAAGGAGCTCGCGATGCTTATTTTAACCGCCCTTTGACCCTGAGTTTGTTATAGCACACTGAATCATGGGAAATGTAGTTTTTGTGTTTTCCGTCTAAAAAAGCCTCTATAGATACATTACATAACTTTTTATCTTTGCGCATACACATGTTGTTTAAAGGCCTTCTTATCGCTTTAAGAAATAATCGAAACATTTCAACTTCACGGGTAAAATTGAGAAACAGCTCGCGCAGCCAACTGCCATGCGTCACTTGTACTCGAGCGCGTGACTGCGGCGTCATGTGACCGGCTGTGTTGTTGTCAGCAGCTGCACACAGGAGGAAAACACCACGAGTAAAGTATCCAAAACCTTAATATGACACTCTGGGAATCATGGATTTTTGCAAAACGGACTAAGTGAATATCTGATGTTTTAATATAGCTCTATTTTAATATGTCGCCTTTTACATAACCGCGTTTTGACGTTGTGAACAATGAATGTCCTTTCGTGAAGTACCATTGAGTCAATTGTTGAACTTGTAGCTGTGCTGAAGGTAAGACATCTGATATCAGCTGTAATGACCATGTGTTAACCATACTGCAACCTATTAATGCCATTTAGATTCAGAATATTTTATTGTCCATTACATTTTATGGAAATGTGTCTTTGGCACTGGCAAAGATACAATATCACTCACCATACACAGTTCAACATACAATTAATACACACAGAAAGAGGGAAATTGCATTGGCAAAGTGCAGAGTGGTTTGTTCTTCCACTGGCTTAAGTTCATTAACACATCAGTTGTATTTTAATCTTCAATGTTATGTATTGAAATGCTTACTCAAACATAATAGTACAATATACTTTTGATAACTCTTATGTCCATTTCAGATGAATGCTCTGGTTGCTCTCTGTCACTTCTGTGAGCTCCATGGCCCTCGGACGTTGTTTTGCACCGAGGCACTGCATCCTCCATCCCCATCCCCTTCATCCCTTGCTGGTGCCGCGGGGCCCGGGGATAGAGACCGAGATGGGGACCGGGAAGGTGAAGGGCTGACCATGAGGGCCAACAGCTCTGCCACACAGAGAGGAGAAATGTGTGAGGTGAGGAGAGAAGCTCAGTTACAATCCATTCTTCTCCCTACCTGTGTTCTGCACAAAAACACTCTTAACTATGACTTTCTGGTATGCTGGTGAGTCCATAGTCCTGTCATCCATCTCAAAGTACATTTTCCTCTCTCCTTGCCTCATAGGGATGTCGATCTCTGCCTGCATCTCACCCGGGCTTTGTGAGCATTGATGATGAAACAGGCATACGCTTCCTGAGCCACCAGCATCCCAGACAGCCACAGCTATTCAGCGTTGTCCGCCAGGCCTGCGTACGCAGCCTCAGCTGTGAGGTAAACAGTGACGTACGTCTGCATGTATGTGTGTGTGTGAGTCACACATCTCATGCGTTAAATAAACTTCTCTCTTTACATTTACTTCTACCTATATTTCTCTGTTTCGCCAGGTGTGTCCCGGCCGTGAAGGACCAATTTTCTTTGGAGATGAGCAACATGGTTTTGTTTTTTCACACACCTTCTTTATCAAAGACAGCCTGGCCAGGGGCTTCCAGCGCTGGTACAGTATTGTCATGGTAGCAATGGACAGGATCTACCTTATTAACTCCTGGCCTTTCCTGTTATGCCACCTCAGACTCACTATACAGAGCCTGCAAAGCACAGCCCTCAAGGTAGGGTGCACACATCGACACACCATGCATAATTCAGATAACTCAAATAGAATAATAAAGTTCTTAATTGGTGCGAATCTATTAGGGCGCCTAATGTCTTGGTACTGTTCTCTCCATCAGGTGTTCGATATTGAACAGGGAGTGTGTCCCCAGCGATCGGTGAGGATGAACAGTGTCTTTTCCCCTGCAGTGTTTCCACACCAAAGGAGTGGCAACGCAGCCCGGTCTCTAACTTCTCTTACCCAGCATCCCAACTTGTGGGCCAGCCTGCACTCCTCCTTCAGCTGGTGAGTCAAAGTCCAGTCAGCCCTATTTTTTATTTATTTTTATTTGACAGGGACAGTGCACATTGATTGACATTTCTGTAAATGCGCCAGAGTTAGCCAACAGGCTATTTTTCATCTGCAGTCCCTGGACAGATGTTGAAAATCATCGTAAAAAAAAAATTCACTTCAAATGACAGGTAAATACAATCAGTAAAACAACATTCAACATAGATGCTTATATTATGATAAAAGCATATATAAAAACATAAAAACTAAACTAAAATACATATTCACAAAGCAGACAGATAGCAACAGGTCAAGGCACATGTACAAACAGAGCGTTGTAAAGTGCAGATTGTGTCAGTGTTGACAGAGCTGATTTTCCACTAACCATGTTTTCAAGTTAGATAAACTGCAGGTGTTTTGTGTCCCTGCTGAGACAAACAGGCTGTGGTCTGTAATGGCTCACCTAGAGATGTGGATTTGTGTTTTCACATTGTCTCCAGGCTGCTGAAGGCATGTGGAAGTCGTCTGACAGAGAAGCTGCTGGAGGGAGCGCCCACTGAGGACACACTGGTGCTCATAGAGAGACAGACAGGTAGTCACATTATGACATCTTACAGTGATACAAAATGTGTAGTTTATTCTGCAAATATAATCATTGTTTAACTAGATACTAAATAGTGATGGCCCCTTCCCCTTGTTCTACCCCCATAGTTCAGACCACGCCCATGTTTCTTAACTTCGTAGCGAAAGGGTTGACTAGTAGAATATGATATGGAAGAACGTAAACAAAAAAACTTTTATTTATTTTAATGTGCAATCTGTTTCGGAAATTGTCAATATTAATACATTTCTAGTACTACAATCTGTTCATGCCCTGAACTGGGTAAAAGTTGAAGTTAAAAAACAAAGTCTGGTGATAAAAAAACGTAATTGAAAGATTACTTACCTTGGAAATGCTTCAACATGTCCTGCCCTCCAGGCAAGGTCTGGCTTCTTGCTGGAGGATGATATCAGCAGATTTAATCCGTTTGCACAATGGTTTAATCATCAGTCTGAACAGTCTCCTGGGATTTACTGGGTCAGTTTAGTGCGGAGACACTGGGCGGAAAACAGTGTTATTCACTGAGCCATTGTAGTCCAACACACTGCTTTTACAGAAAGTGTTTACTAAATTTTTTGTCAAGATTTAGATTAAAAGATTTACAGAGGTATTTCCGGGGCCAGTGTGGCCCTTTGATTGTGGAATTTTAATACCCTTTTCCCCATTAGAATAATGTTTTAATATTCATTTTAAAATTTCTGAAGCATTTATCAAAATAACACATAACAAGTGATGAATAAATACACAGGAAAAAACACATGAAAAACATTTGATCACCAATATAAAAGCAGCACAAATAAAAATGGCAATTTGTAGAAATAGGTTTTTAAAGCTGTTGTTTTTTTAAGTTTACATGCTCAGTCACCGGATACTTCAGGAAATGAGTCATAGATAACAGTTGAGATGTAAAGAGCTGATTTCAGTTCGGAAATGGTGTCATGTGCACATCACACTCTATATAAGGAGTGTGATATATAACAGACCAACAACATTTCCAGTGGAATTTCCCCACTTTGGTAATGAGCTTGAAAACATTTGATCATCACTATTAATGTCCTAATGTCATTTTCTGTTTCCAAAAGAGCAAGAGGAGGAAATGAGCTGCTGGGAGGGAGCAGAAGGAGGCGATTCTACATCACAGCGGCACCAATCAGAGAGCAAGCTGGGCTTCGACTTCCTGTGTGATGATGCAAAGTTAAATGAACTACCAGGGCCGAAATTCAGGTCCCTGAGGCATTTGAGACAGGTACACTTTTAGGTACTTTTACAGCGTGTCATTTTGTCTGCAGGAAACTGAAAAAGAACATGAAAGGAAAAGGTTACTGTCTCCTCTCCTTTTGATGAGGCAGAGCGCTTCCAACAGTTTTTTCAAGAATGTATAGTTTCATGGCTTAATTTTTACTTTAGTTCACATAAGGTTTCTGTGAACTGTTGAACATTACAGTTTGATTTGCTCCGCAGGTCCTCGGGGTTGCCGAGTTTCGTCAGCTAGTGTGGCACGTGCTCATGGGAAATCAGGTCGTATGGAGAGGCGCTGACCCCGGGCTCATCCAGTCTGCCTTTACAGTGCTCAAGGTAGTTCACTCTGCCTCGTTAGTGTCATAATGATGTGGGTAAATATGAATTAGGACAAGTGATAACTCCTTTGAGGGTCCCCATTAGGTGAGCCCTTGTAAAAGTTAAATGCTGGGTAGTTTTACACAATTATAACTCTTACAGTTATTTAACACTTCAGTTTCTTTTTATTAAGATGAATTAGTCAGAGTGAAAAATGCTGAATTGAAAAGATTAATAACCTTTTAATTCGCCATATTTGATGTGATATGAAGTGATAGTAATGGATTAAGTTTCAGTTAGTTTCTCCACAAATATATATCAAATTCCTGCCTGAAGTGATGATATTAGTGAAGCTATCATTGCACGCCTTGAAATCTTGTTTGCCCGTACACGCTTTGCCTACCTCTCCATGCAAAATACACAAACAAGACTGAGCATGTAACCGCTTTCATTACATGATTAGTGTTTCTAATCCGCTGTGGAAAGATTTAAAATGTTTTTTGTGATCATTTTGAAAATTGTTTTGTAAATTGTTACAATTACAATGTTGGAAGTCTCCTACTACTTCCTATGTCTGTTCACAGCAGACATTACGAGTTGTAGGAAAGCACAGTTGTGACTAATAAAGGTAACAATGATTCAGTTCTAACAGAGTGCCCTAGTGAACCACGACTGTACGACATGAGGCAGCATGAATATCTCCTGAAACTGAAGCAGCTAAATTAAATTCCGTGATCATTAGCAATATTATTTAAAACTGTGCTTTTCCATGTCAAAATATCAACAGAATAACTGAGTGGATGAGTGCATGTTTATAATGTGATTCTCTGTCCTGTTTCCCATCAGTCTTTGCTCCCAGTAGGCTGTGTGTGCTCGGTGCCATACAGTGCTCAGTATGAAGAGGCATATAAATGCAACTTTCTGGGTCTCAGCCCAGATGTGCATATTCCTACGCACGTCAGCTCCTCAGGTACCAGAGCCTCTGTGGATTTACACTGTAGATGACTCTACATTACCTTTAAGATCTGCTGTTAGAGGCTTTAGGCTTGTACAAGCAAGTCATCTTATGTTGACTTAATCTTTCTTTTGTTTGTGACGCAGACTTTTCAGTGCTAGTGGATGTCAGCATAGAGAGAAACGGGCGGATCTGTGCAGTGGGTGAATACGATATCTCCGCACTCTATCAGTTCACCATCAGCAGTGCCAACACACAGCCCACAGACAGGGGTGAGCATCGGGCACACCTGAAGTTATAAATGTTGGAAATAACATTTATTGTAGTACTGTACAATTTTAAGGGACTTGTACTTTCCCCTCTGTGCCATCTCAAAATTATACTTAACTACATTTCAGAGGGAATATTGTACTTATTGTAACTATTTTACAGCTATTATTAACTTCAAAATGTTTGATTTTTACAGACAAAACGTATAAAGAACATGTCAAATATGATGTTTTGATGTAGATCAGTACAACTGAAACACTGTTTATTTGAACCTTTTTAAGATAAACATCTTATCGTTATTTGGGTTTTAATCTCATCATAATACACAGAGTGAAAGTTATGTAGGCCAGATTTCAGTTTCGCAGTGAATGCAAAAATAGAGGAATTGTTAAGACATGTCCCGTTTCAGGATATGGCTCTGCATTAAAAAGTGATGTGTTCTTTGGCCCACAGCCTATCTTTACACCAGCTTTCATTCAATACTGTTTTATCAGCAAGTTCTTGAGATTAGCTGGACAAAAGGAAGTTATTTAAGTTGGCAGGAAGCATGTTTAGACCAACTTTGAAAAGTGGTTGTACTTAAAGGTCCAATGTCATGGCCATTTCTACTGATCATAATTCCATTGTTGAGGTATACTAGAATAGATTTATATTGTGCAATGTCCCAAACTCACATTGGTTTCTCATACAGCATCTCTGTATAGTATGTGTATTCACTCTCTGTCCTAAACGGCTTGTTGGAGCTCCTGCCCCCCCCTCCCTGTGAGCCCAGTGGCCGTCTGCGAGACAGCGAGACACAGCGAAACCTAGCCCGAAACCAGCCCGAGCACACACACACACACCCGCAGCCTGGCTGGGAGTTTGTGTGTGTGCTCACACACACACTCGCAGCCTCGCCGCGTCCCGCCGTCTCAGGCTGAGAAATCCGCGGAGCTGCAGCTGAGAAAAGATTGTGTGTGTGTGTGAGGAAGACATAACGTAACCGCTCCGCGGATTACGTTACGTCACTATACCCAAATACGTCACTGTACCCAGGAAGAAAAAGAAATCTCCAACGAGGCGTTCTGGGGCAGCATAGACAGGTCTTTTCTGTGTTACAGTTTTACTCGCTACAGGGTTTACTTTGAGAGTTTGTGACTCTGCAGACCGTTTACATGCATAAAAAGCTTCATAACACACAAGGGGACGGGTAATAACCAGAAAAGCATGACATGGGCCCTTTAAGACTAACAACCATATGATGACATTTCAAACCATTTTGTCCTCTTTTTTCCAGGTCCCACGTTACTGAACAAGCTTGAGGTGGCTCTGTCTAATGAGAACTTGTCTGTGGACGTCGTGTCTCACTGCCTGCTGTGTCTGAAGGAAGAGTGGATGAAGTGAGTAGCATCCATTTACTTTAACAGACCACCACCAGGGTTTAAGTGCGATTCTCATAGCCGATTCTATCTTTCAGTAAAGTCAAAGTGCTGTTCAAGTTCTCCAAAGTGGACGGGCGAGGGAGGGAGGACACACAGAAGGTTCTGGCCCTGCTTGGCGCCACAGGGACAGGCGAGGAGGACAACGTCAGGCTGCTCAAGTTCTGGATGACTGGACTCAGCAAAACCTACAAGAGTCATTTAATGACAGCCGTCCGAGGAGGGGAGAGGAGCCCCAGCCAGTGACAAAGAGAGGGAGGGGGAGGAGGAGGTAGAGGGGGTGAAATAAAGGGAGCTGAAAAGAGGGGGAAATACTAATGAAGGGAAAGCGAAAGCTGCTATCCATTCATCGTCAGTTTTGTGAACTGTTTGGGATTTCAGTAGATGAAAGACTCATGTGAATGGGTCACCAACCTATTTTTCTCATTCATTCTTGCTTTTCAAAGTAATGGGTATTCTACTGTTCCTAACCCTGATTTTTATCCTACAAAGATTAACACGTTTGGTCAGTTTAAATAATATATGAGTTTGTCAAAGGGAATTATTGTAGATGACCTATTTATACTAATATGTGAAGTTTAACTTATTACAAACAGACTTTGCACTTTGTTTACTCTTTTTCTGATGTTTTAAAATAAAATGAATATGAACAGTCACTCTCACATTCTTTTTTTTTTTTTTTTGGCTCCATCTTGTGGTGAACAGGAAGAATAAATAGGGAGTGGATTGGGGGGGGGGGCAGCATTTTTCTCTGCAAGCTCCCACTCACTTGATCGAATGGCTGTCAGCCAACATACCCCAAGTGGTGTAACAACACTGTTAAGGTTTTTGGTGTCCTGAAATGTACAATGCGGTTGCATAACACGGCCTCGCTCCAGTACAGACGACCACATCAGCAGGATTTTGGCTTCCTAATCAGCCATTTGCACACTGAGCCACTAAAAAGCTGAGGGCTTTTTTTCATACCAAAGTTATTTAAGCCTGTTGCTTTGCTGAAGCTTGCAGACACTCAATAAAAATCAGCCACATACGGCTTTGTTTAAATTGGAGGGGGATGTTTGTTTGTAATGCATACCTTTCTAGCAATTGTGTCAAAACAAATACGGTGATTCAAGTTTTAGTCAAAATTACAAAGAAAGGTGTCTGAATATCAGGATTGAGTAGCTTTCTTTTCTATGTACTTCTGAACAATGCTAGTGTGCTAATAGAGTTGAACTTTTATTGTTTATGCTGTTCTCTGACTCAACGCAAATCTGGATTTAATTCTGCCGGTTTCACTAAAATAAGCAAAAACATAATTTGCAATGGCTGCACAAATTAGTTACATATTTACTTCCCTCAGTATGCAAGCAATGTATGAAACAGGAAGGCGGCACAGCGACTGGATATTTATACCGTACATAAAACACATAGTATATGTGAAGAGGTTTTCAGTTGATGATACCTCTGGGAGTGTTAATGCTTAGCTTGCGGTGAAGCTGCTGTTCTCTAGTTTCCATTTCCTCTCAATAGTGATGGGACTTGGGGAAACTTGGTTTTGGCTTGTGTTCAAAAAAGGACACACAGAAGAACAATTCCTCTTTGACATGAAGAAACATCTGCTAACTTCTTTCCTTTCTTTACTAATTAACTCCTCTCCTAGAAAATGAACAGAATACCAAAATAACATGATGCTTCACACAACCTGAGGGGACAGAAGATCAACACTTTACGGACAGGATGATGACAGCTGTGCACAATATTAGATTATCAGACGTCACAAACACACAAGGCACCTCTGTGGAACCCATTTTAACAGAAATTACTTCAGAAAAGCTGTCAAAATAGAATGACTTGCCATTTCTGGTGACGCAGTGTTGCAATCCTTTTTTTTTCTCCCAAGAACTTTTTCCTGAAATTCCTGATTTATAAAAAAAACAGATCATGTGATGATTAAACAGAATGATATTGCACACTGACTCTGGAGGGATAAAGACCAAGGGATCCAAAGGCTCAGAGGTGTGGGGGAGAGTCCAAATGAAAAACATACGCTCCAATTGCATGACTAAGCCTCCTTGGGCCCGGTCTGAAGGGGGAGGATGGGGGTAAGAGGGTGGGTGTCAGGGAATGTGGGGAGCAGGGGGGAGGGGCCGGGTCAGTCAATAGTGAGGTAAAACGTGTGGCGGTGGGAGGGGCCGAGACTTAAAGGGAGCAGACAAGCAATCCAGCAGAGCACTTTCACTTTGAGCGAGTGAGGACACAGAGTGGCCAGAGGGAGAGATAGACAAGAGCAGGCCAGTGTCTCTCCCGCTTTATCCATTAACCAGTTTCGAGGGAGAGGGGAGTGGTTCAAATTGGGCTGTTCAAGAAGATTCTAGGTCAGTAGTGAGAGGGTGAAAGGGAAAGAGATATAGTAAAAAAACAAACAAAAGATTACATAGGAAAAGGCTTCAGCCACTCAGGCTTAAGTGGGAAAATCCAAAGTGAGAGAGCGGGATGGCGTGAGAGGATAAATGAGGTATTTATTGGAAAGTACCAAAAGGACTCCAAAGGAAGGAATGTATAAGGGATGTCAACAAGAAGACTACATATCAGACGGTGAAGGAGAACACACAGCAGCGCACTCTGTGTCAAAGACCTGAAGAAACCACAGAGGAGGAAGCTTTGCCTTTCACAGACTGACACAGAAACACGTCTGCAGAGAGATTGCCCTCAACAAGAGAAATGGAGAAGTGTCCATTCTTAGAAAGATAAAAGGATGTCACTGCCAGGTGAGAGACAAGAATTAACTGCGTTTTGGTGCTTTTTGAAAACTTTTCCTATAGTATGTAGGTAAAAAAAGTTGAATGCTATAACTGGTTGTTTTATAGTCATGCTTAATCAGTCAAAAACGGATTTGCTGTGTTACTTTGTGTTGTTATAGCATTTCCGGGGTATTCATTTAATTTAAAAAACATGCCAAGTATAATTTTGTTGAATTGAGGCAGGATATGAGGTATTGCTTTTTACTGGGCATGCAGTGTTGAACAAGCTACAAACCACAGAAAGTTTCCATCAATTATCTGAATGTCTCTTTTCTTCTTACTCATGCCTCTCACAGTTTTGCTGTTGCTATCACTCTTGACTGTCCGATGTGGTGGATGTGACTTTGACAGGGAAGGTGTGAAAAATATTAAAAGGACAATCGACTCTAATCCGACTGGATTTGTAAGTTAAGAACTTTTTACTTTGTTCATGATTTGATGTAGTCAAACATCTTCTCTGTAGGAATGATATCTTTGCTTACCAGATGTTTATACTATCCTTTAAGGAAAAAACATTTATATTGACTTTCTTCAGTCAGACGGTAAAAAGAGGTGGTCAAAGGTGAAGATTTCTCTGAAATGAATGAGAATAATCAACTCTCCCTTGTTATCTGATAACCTTTAAAGCTATTGGACAGGAAACAGTTGTTATGACTGATATGCGTAGCTCTACCAAGTAAAAGAAATCAAACAGAATGTAGTTTCCCCTTAGGGGTTAGTTAAGTTGTTTTCTAAATTAATAAAACGTTACTATAGTTCAGTAATCACTTAAGTTAAAATGTGTAACTTATTCAATCATTTGTGGGTGTTTTTCTTATGTGTTCTATGCTTTTGTTCTATCTTCCAGCGGACAGTATTTCCTAAGGATTACTATGTAGTGCACCGCTACGCAAAAAGAATGCTCTGCGACAGGGATCCGGTGAGTTTCTTATCACATCAAAAAGGGGAAGTGGTGTCTCATGTGCTAATAATGTCGTACATCTTACAGTCTTTCAGCCGTTCGGGCTCTTTGCTAAGAATTAGCTTTAACCTCCTCTTCAGTTACAATAACAGGCCTTGTAAATGCTCAGTTTAGCAAGAAAAGTGTTGTGCCATGTATCCTTGAGCCTCACTTATAATTAAGCAACTGATGTGGTTCTTGTGGTGATTTGTCACATGTTTTTTGCACACTAAACCTGACTTTGGGGTTGTTGTGTTGCTCTTTCTTTCCCTGGCAGTGTTGTGTGTTCCCTGCTGCAGTCGTCCTGCTTGAATCATGGCATGTGCTTCTCGGAAACCTCTGGGATGAGCACCTTAATCAATCCTTAATCCTGGATCTAAAGCTGACCCTGAGTAAAATTATAAGAAGCAACAAAAATACAGAGGTAGGGTTTACTTTCAAACATATACCATAATAATGTCTTATTATACAGCTTGCTTGCTTACTTAAAAAAGTCATTGTGATTGCTTGCTACATTCATATTTAAATCTTTGTTTCAAACATACATGTATGTAAAAGTAAAGTAATAAGAATTAAGCTCCTGAGATCATATGATTGTCTCTTCTTTTATTCAAAATATTTACTTGTGCCTTGTTTCCTCGTCTCAGAGGTTCCAGGAGGAGACGGACCTGACCCAGTTCTCCCCACTATCTTCCTCTCCTGAAGAACTTCTGAAGCTAACGTCAGAACTCCTCACTCGATGGCTCGATGTCGCCTGCCTACCGCAAATGAAAACCTGCACCCTGCCCACCTTGCCCCCCCCTCTAGAGAGGAAGGACTACGGTCCGTCGAGGGCCAGACTCTTGACGACTCGAGCTCTCAGCAGTGAGGAGGAGGGGAAGTCTGGGAAGATGATAGACAATACGCAGCCTCCGTCCAGCAGTGCTCCTCCGACCCTGTCCTATGCTGCCTCTCTCTGGAGCACCTTGCTATTCAGACTGTACTGGTGGTTGTTGCCATAGTTACTCCAAGGATCTTCTGTTTTTTGATGATGCACACAAAATGCAAGACATTTCCTGGCACTGAATGTTTGTTTTTCTTATACTTGCGTCTTTGTGTTTTGATGCAGCGAGCTTTGTTAATATGATGTGACATGCACCGGTTGTATTTAATGTCCAAAGTTAGTCACGTAGCCGTGCAACACTTTTCTTTTTTAGTCACGTAGCCGTGCAACACAACTGATATCACAAATATAACCATATAGCCATTCTCTCTCTCTCTCTCTCTCTCTCTCTCTCCCTCTCTCTCTCTCGAGCAAAGCCACAAGCTCCAGCTAGCTATGCTCTACATGCTAACCAGAGATAAATGCTGAGCAAGCCAATGCACACAAGCCATCGTCTATTGATGTGGAATTCATCACTGTTTACAATGAATGTTATGTAAATGTAAGATATTACAGTTTATGGGCGTTTTACTTTTGTACATAATTGTAAATTAAAGACATTTAGATATATATATACATTGTTAGTTTTTGATATATTATCCCATGTTTAAGCTATATTTATTGTGGTCTGTGCTGTTTGTCATCATTAACTAAAAATAACCAAGTATATATAATCAAGTAATGCACAACGTTTAGGTACTTGTACACACTTTACTGGATTATTTTAATTTGATGGTACTTTTTACTTCTATTCTTCAACATTTTAAAGGGAAATATTTGACTTTTTTAACCACTCCATTTATCTGACAGCTATAGATAAGTCATTAAAATGAGCTCAAACAGCAAAGAGCTGACACTTTCAATGCATCAACAATACAGAGAGCATTTTTCTGCATATATTCTTTTCGTTTTTAATTTATTTTATAAGTAAAGCTTAAATAAATACTTTTGAATGTATGTTTGAATTAGTCATTTCCCTTTGTGGCATTGCTATGTTTGTCTAAGTAAAAGATCTGTTTGTCAGTAAAACACTTAGACATTCATATTTCTATCCGTTCGGCTTAAACAGATTCTATTTTGTTTATGATGTTGCATTCCAGATGCATGACATAGACGTTGTGTTATGATTCATGTGAGCTCAACCTTAACTGACGGCTCTTATAAAAAAGTGATTCCCAGAAGGAAATAGCTTTACAACTTTTTCAATTCTCAGGAAAAAAATGACAGACGAGTTGCAGATGAGGGAGGAATGCACTCTGGATCCAACAGGACTCAAGGATGTTCTGAAGGACTCCTGTCAGGATTTACATGAGAAATAATAAGTCCACCATTTGGTGCTCGCACTTGCCCCTGCTTGTACACACCCACGCATGTAATGTTCACCACTGTTGTCACAAGATCCTTCTTGTAGTTTCCTAATCCTTAAAATACAGAGGTATGTGGGAACAGGCTCTTGGCCTGCACCCCAAGTTTTCGACAAAAAATATTTTCTCTGAATTAATGTCAAATTTGGAAAGAATGAGGAGAATGTACAACAGCATGAATGCAGATTAAAAACCATTAGATCATCATAGTGCTCGAAAGTCAACCATTTGGACACGTCATGAAAGTAAATCAAGCCAAAGGCTATCTGTTCCTTTGGACTGTTAAACTTACTGGCAAATACTCATGCAACTAACAACAAAAACAAGAACAAGTCCAGCCAACTTTAAGAATAAATAATTGGGCAAGTTCTATTTAAATGTATAGCTACTTAATGTTTTAATAACTAGGCTGTGCAGCTGCTGCCGTATTAATTGTTTCCTATCAGTAATACAGGGGCTGTTGACCCCATGGATGTATAATGGTTGACCCCAGTGTCAGTACCATAGGCAGAATAAAATAGGTCAGTACCAGGCTGCTGCATGTGGTGGGCTACACATGTTGCATTTACTTGAAATCAATGTAGTAGTCTGACTCACTCAGAGCATTTGAGAGCTCCTGTCCTGGGTCAGTAGACATGAACATTACCACAAAATGTGAAAATGATTCATCCGATTTCTTTAACAAATGTTACTCTGCAGGGAGTGTGAAAGGCGACCCTGTGGCCACCCCCTCAAACCCCATGATATCAAGCATAAAGAACATCGTAGTTTGGACAATATCACAGACAAATATTTGCAAGTCTGTTTTTTCCTGGCAGCGTGGAGACAAGCGCGAAAGGGGCCAGCTGAATTCCCGTAAATGGGAGGGAGAGAGAGGGAGAGGGAGAGGAGGGAGAGGGCGGGGGAGTGAGGCAGCATGGGAGGGGTGACAGGCTGTTTAAACCACGTGGCTGCTGCACATACCGGAAGTAAGCAAAGATGTCTGCGCCCGATGAAGACACGTTTGCCGAGGAAGGAGGCGAAATGGAGGAGACGGGCGAAGCTGGTAGCGATGATGATGAAGGAGTTGAGATGGAGGAGGGAGGAGATGGCGGAGAAGAGGAGAAGAAAGTGTACGTGCCCGGGATCGAGCCGCTAAAGCCGGGAGAGGAGCTGGAGATGGACCGGTCCGCGTACCGCATGTACCACGAGTGTCAAACTGGCAAGTTGTACACATGTAGCAGCTAGTTAGCCATGCAAATATCTTCTATAAGTAATGTCCGCATGCAGGAGCTTCAGTATTCATTGTTGTGTGTCTCCAGGTGCTCCGTGTCTGAGCTTTGACTTCCTGAGAGATGGGGATGGAGAAGGCAGGGAGCAGTTCCCCCTGTCCATGCTGCTCTGTGCGGGCACACAGGCGGACTCAGCGCTGAGCAACAGGTACTGAACACATGTTGCCAGATCTGAAGAAAACAAGCAACCAGGTCTATGAAACAAGCCCGGAAGAAGTCACGTGGCTCTGCCATAAAAAAGAGTGGAATAAGCCTAAATGTATAATAACTATTTAAAAGTTGAACTAATAACAACTGGCCAGCGAATGATGATAAGGAATGAATGAATGAAAATAGAGAAGGAAACTGGCCATGTGTTCATTTCAGTGGCAAAACAAAGACATCTTATTGGCCCCTAAACAGATTAAGTTTGAGCAAATTACATTAATAAAACATCACTAATACTGTGTCATAGATTGGCCATGTCACACCAAAACACACCAATCACTCCAATCACTCAAACTAGCCAAAAAAAACACGTCCATTATGCAATTTCAATAAATGTCTGACAATCCCACTGAAGAACCTATTACTAACCATATGTATAAGCCACTTAACAGAAAAACAAGCCGTCTTATATTAAGAAACCTCTGCCACTTTGGGTACAAACTTGATAAATATGGTGTGTTTCAAGGTTATTCCTATTATTAACAGAAAACATTTGAAATAATGCAGATGCATCATGGCTTTTGAGATTTTGATTAGTGTTGCTTCAGCAAAAAGGTAACACTAGTCAATCAATAATAATTCAGAACAAGTCTTTTCAAATAATTGTGACTGGCAGGACATTTTATTATATGGAAGCTTCAGTTGTTGCAGAGGTATCAACAGCACATTCTCACTAGTTCTTTTTGTGCACAGTTTCGGTTCTGTTTTGACATACATGGCATAAAGGGTCGGGGATTTCCCCTTTTTAAAAGGCCAGCTAAAATGAAGGGAAAATATCTTAAATTGTTTGGATTATAACGTTTCTTACAAAACCTCAGCTCTGTTGATACAGTCACCAGACTTTACACAACTCTTGAAATAATATGAGGAAGGGGGGTTATTTTTCATCTGAATCCTCCTAAATGCATATTTGTACTTTCTTCCAGACTTATCGTCATACGCATGCAAAACCTTTATGGAACAGAGAAAGACAAAGAGGGGGAAGAGAGCAGCGATGAAGAAAGTGATGACGATGATGAGGATGAAGACAAGAAGCCACAGATGGAGCTGGCCTTGATGCCTCACTATGGAGGCATTAACAGAGTCAGAGTATGTTATGCATCACTTTATAGGCAGACTTGTATATGAACTCCTGTATTGGAAACCTGAGTTTTCTAATGTGCATGATAACCAATTTTGTTTCTATAATACCAGGTGACAAAACGTGGAGAGCAGTCGTTGGCCGCTGTCTGGTCTGATAAGGGACAGGTAGAAATAATTGACCTCCAATCACAGCTGGAAGCCGTGCACAGTCCTGCTGCTATGGCTGCTTTTATCAAACAGCAGAAGGAAGCCACACCACTCTTCAGCTTTGCAGGACACATGGGGGAAGGCTTTGCTATTGATTGGTCGCCTACAGTGCCTGGTAAGTGTCTCCTTTTACATGCAAGACAGTTTGCAGAGGCATTCATTCTGGGCTTGTTTACACATTACTACCTCTGTCCTATACATGTAAAGGTTTACCTGACTGCACCCAACATAGAGTAACATTTTATCTTGCGCTCCTAACTGTCTCTCCCTCTGTAACACTAACGCCAGAGATTTCTGTGTAAATTCCTAATTTGCACCTTTTTTATCTGGAGACAGGCAAGTTGTCCAATCCACAACATCAATGTTTGGTGGTACTGTATAGCTTATACATTTCTTTATGTCCAAACATATGTAAACACTTAGTTCATCCAGATTCAAAAAGTGCATTTAATTTGCACATGGCTCAACTTCCAGCAAATGAATTATGAACCTGGTTTATTTTTCTAAATTTAAAAGAAAAATAAACAGGTCTGAAAACACAACCTCCTTGGCAGAGGTAAAAAAAAAAAAAGGAAATGAATATATAGTACAGTGTCCTTTTTAAAAGCATGTAAGGGATACACTTGTTATCGAGGGTAACGTGTTCAAACACAAAGAAGAGTGCAATAAGTTGTGTGGGGCCTGCCACTTTACACAGCTCAGTGAATGTGTCTGTTTTCAGCCTAAAATTAAAAAAGGTGTTGTGTTTGTTCTTGTATTAACAGGTCGTCTTGTCAGTGGAGACTGCAAAAAGAACATCCATGTGTGGGAGCCACAAGAGGGAGGGACTTCATGGCAGATTGACCAACGACCTTTCAGCTCCCACAGCAAGTCTGTGGAGGATCTGCAGTGGTCGCCCACTGAAGCTACAGTAAGTTTATTTAGAAAACAGGGACTATCAGTCACAGAGGTACTGTAGAAGAGCTTTAGCGGGCAGCATGCAGGCTCGGTATCAAAGGGCCGATCCACAGTGAACAAGTCTTGACAAATCACAACACCTGTTTTCAGACAGTCACTTAATTTGTGCAATTTTATCCAGGTGCTTTCAAAGATGTGGCCCAAGACATTAGCAAACTAAGCGTGTGCTAAGGACCTTCAAAAATGCTCAAAATGTCCAACCAGAGTTTCAGTATGCTCAACACATATGCTCACATTTGCAAAGGGTTTTAAAGGGTAAGGTTTTAGTGTTAATGCATGTGTTAAATGCTTTCGCTTCAATTAAGCAGGACTCTTTTTTTTTCACTTTGGTAGCATGTAAAAACATTTAAAGATTTCTTCTTCAAAGTGACCTAGGATTAGTAATTGATATGGTCATGTTTTGGGTAAAATATTCCTTTATGCACTGTCCACCCCCACCAGGGCCGACTGGGATTTATGTTTTGTTCTGGTTTTCCTCCCAAACAAAAATACGTACATGCGATTTGTTCGACATGCATCATGTGAATTGACACGCATGTTGGGTATCCTCATTGGCCCCTGACCTTAGAGCTGAACTAGCCTCATTGACCTTAAATATTTAGGATGATTGAAACCCAGAGGATGAATGTCAGGCTTATCCTCCCTGCTCACCAGTGCTACAGGTGTTTGCATGGAAGAATGGGGCGGGTGAGATGACTGAATGATTGGGATGAATGAACTATGATGGAGGTGAAAGCAATTTAATTAGTCACCAAACTAGTTTATGATCTGTGGATGTGAATTCTACTGCCTCACATGGGTGGTGCTCTTTGGACACAAAAAGCATTAAAAGCATCAACTAATGAGCATGAAAAGCCCAACTCTTACA